AACCCACCCCCGCTTGTTAGGATTGTGTCTTTGATTTTTTGTATAACTTCATGAGAATTAGATAAGGTTAGAGATCTATCATGATTAGAATATTGAGTCTCATCATGATTAGGAGTTTGAATCTTATTCTAATTAGCAAGTTAAGCTAGAGATAGAGTTTTGATTTTCCTATATATATTCTTCTATTGTTGGAGGAAAAACTAATGAGAAAGGAGATAGCCAATATTCTTATAATTTAGGGTTAGCAGAGGGTGTAGCCTGATTCAAGAATATTGTGCAAGAGATGAGAGTTGAGTGATTTCTCTTGTAGTTCTCCCTGATACATAGTGGATTTCTCGTATTGTTGCTCCGTGGACGTAGGTCGAAGTTAGTCGACCGAACCACCTAAATCTCGGTGTTCTTTCTTCTTGATTGTGGTTGTTTTATATCTTGTTGATTGTGGGTTAGCTTCCAAGTTGCGTAAATTGTAGTAGGCGGGTAGACTAAAATTTCTCAACAAGTGGTATTAGAACAATGATGATGGATCCTTGAGCGAGTTCGCAAGATAGAAGGCGACGTCGTGCAAGATTGAAGATCAGCGTTATAAGAATCAAGATGAAGAAAAAGAAAAAAAAAGGAAGATTAATTTGTCTTCTGATCGAGAGTTTGGAGGCAGATTTCGATGATCTAGGAGTTGATCCCTAGGTTTTGGAGTGCTCTGAACGCGGTGGGAGGGTCTGATTTTTCAAACTATGCTCATATTAGTCAGAAAGTGCTGAAAAGTTTTGATGCTGGTAGCAAGACAAACCTGATAGCAGATAGGGCAAACGAATATGTGGCAGATGAGACTGGTGTAGAGAATCAGATGTGATTCTAGCAGTAGAGTTATCAGCATATAATTATTCAAAGTCATCGCGGGAGTAGTAGTTGGTTGGTGTGTAGACTCGAGGAGGACAGTGCCAGATTAGGTGGAGCTTGCAAGTAGGCACGACTGAATGACACACATGCTGATGGAGATTGTGGCATTGGACTTGAAGACGATGAACGCTCATATTCGGTCCAAGCCAAGTGATGGAGGAGATGGAGGCATCTGGCTCGTAGTGGAGGTGCACCGACATGATTCGAGGCGAGCATTGCACGTGGAGTACGAGGATAGCAAGTGGGGTAAGGCTACCGTCAAGTTCAGTTTGGGAGTAGAAACATGGTTGATTTGCTTCTAATGTTAGAAGTGGTGAAGATCTCTTGGTGTGTACAAGAGTTGTGGATGCGCCACAACGAGACAGATGAAAGTGAGGGTCATAGGGGCATCCAGTTGGAGTACATGTGTTTTGATTTGAAGTACGAAAGAAATAGAAGATTTTAGCGGGAGAGGCAAAGTTTCAAGACGACGATGATATATCTTCAAGGAAGTTTGGGAATTAAATCCAAGTT